CACACACACACACACACACACACACACACACACACACACACACACACTCAAATGTTTACTACAGCGTTTCCCACAGCAGAGCTTAGCTAGTGCAGAGGACAAAAAGCAGTCCATCTGTTCTCTCATTGCAGGGCATGTTCCTCCACTCATTTGGCAGACTTGAGAGTGCTCCCATGCTTGTTCTAATTGGCTGTGAATGGCCCCTCGCTTCACTCGGGGCAGCCTTTGATGAGCTTGGAAGACTGGCTGCTTAAGTGGCTTTTGAGTGAAGCTCTTCATGAGAGGCTGAATAGCAGCTCGGCTGCTCTGCTGAGAGACGAACATGGGGAGACACTCTAGCAGGACGATGAGGAAGATGAGACGCACAACCAAGAGCTCATTTACTGTGCAGTCAAACGTGCCCCTGGTGACACAAACACTGCAGTGTTTCCCAGACGTCGATGTATTTGTGGGGGCCCGCCACAATGTCAACACTGACTGCCACACACTGATTGTATATCCTTTTATTTTTTCCCAAATTCTTCATTTTCTAAATTCTGTGTTGTACGATGTATGCATATGTTTTCATCAGAAAGATCTAATTGTGTGGCAATATAATGAATGAATGGATTTGCTGTAACACAACAGCTCTGCAATAGATACGACCATGATGAGCGTTTGATTTTAGAGAGATGTTAAATCTATTGACAATAAGATGTATTGACGAATCAATAATTGATATCAATATTAAATCTAACTCGCGGTAAGACAACAAACATGCCGTTCATGGAATTTTAAATTCGTATCCCTTACATAACTCATAACAGAAAAGATATTACACCACTGTAGCATGTTACTCAGTAATGTGTTGACACTGGTTCAGCTGCTACCATGGCTACACATGCAAGTATGGATGGTGTAACACAGGTGTCTTCAACGTTTTTTTTAGGCCAAGGACCCCCAAACTGATAGACAGAGCAGGGACCCCCGACTATATATATTGTATAAAATTGTGTTTTATATTAAATGGGACTAGTGCCATGTATAAACATACCTCTTTATTGTGCATTCAATACTCAGCTATTCAAATAATACACAGGTTCATATATTCATGTTTTAATTTTAAACATGTGCAAGGTACAGTGAGTGGCTGTGCCACTTCCATTTATAAACATACCTTGTCAGCTGATACCAATATCAACATTGTCTGTCAATTGCATGATAATCATGCATACAAGCTATTCAAATTGACGTTTTTTTAAATAAATGTGGAAACGAAAAATGAGTGATGGCCTATTAGTGCCACTGCCATGCATACACATACCTGTAATCTTGCATACAATACTGAACTATTAAAATAATGGACAGATTCATGTGTTTTGGTTGAGTTACAAAACGATCCATTTTCACTCATAACAATGTCCATACACTTGGCATGATAATATACTGGCCTCAGTAGTTGAGCTGCAGTGTTTTAGCCAGGAATATCTTGCAAAAATTATTCCACAAGAATTCGTAAATGTCGTTTTTTCATTTTTTCTTACAACGGTATCTTCTTTTCAAATAATATTACAGCATCCTTGTGTCTGGGATCTTAGTCAGCTGGGGACTGAATAGGCTCTCAGTCAATCAGGGGGAACCTGACAGAGCCAGCATGCGACCTCGTGATTGGCACAGCAGCGATAGGGGCGAGTCCTCCTCTTAGTGTGCAGGAGGCTTGGAGGGACAGGTCCAGGCTAGTCTCGTGCTGTGAGTGAACCGGTGGCCAGCTTGAGAGACCTCCTGTGTGCATTTCTGACTGAAAGACAACATCTGCCTCTATTTATCTATTTGCTACAATATGTTGGATTGATGTTAATGTATATTTCAAGACATTTAAATTTGTGGAAAAAAAATTGGGGGAAAAAAATATTCAGAAAAATTGTCTAATCAAGCAAAAATTTCACAACCCCCCTGCAGTACCTCCGCGGACCTCCTAGGGGTCGCGGACCACCTGTTGAAGGCCTCTGGTGTAACACATAACTCTTCATCCCAGCATCCATCATATGTAAAGAGCTGGACTCAGTCATCTCCCTTCTCTGTTCAGACAGAAAAATACACCGCAGGGAAAAGACACTAAACAAGAGTGGAGCTGCTGTACGGTGGCCTCACCTCTAGGACTTCAGAATAATGAGGAGGAGAGCCTCCTCTCTGGATTAAAGCCGCACCATGCATTCATTCTAATCAGCATGTGTAGCCAGGCTTGACCAGCAGGGCGCTGGGGGCTGCACCTAGTGTCTGTGTGTATGTTAGTGTGTGTTGCCAGCCATGCTGAACCCCTGCTCTTCAAGGTTCACCGCAGCTCTCTGGCTGCAGAGATCTTGGTGGGAGCAGTTGGTCTCTGACCTTTCAGCAGCCGTCTCCTGAGGGGACCTGACCGAGCTGTGGCCTTTTAACAAACGCCAGCACAGATCACTCAATGCACACCAGCTGACATTTACCGTTATTACCTTCATCCTACTAATGAGATTCCCCCTACAAAATATGATCCCGTTTGGTTGATTTGACTATGAGTAATAATGCAAACGGATGTTCTAACAATATGTATGCCGCTGACAATCTCACGTCTACTTGAGGTTAATCTCCATCTCTGTTTGGATTTCCTGGCCTGACACTTTTACCGTTTTGAGTTTATTCTCAGCGCTCTCATCAACCACGCTTCCAGCTGCAGCAGGTGTTTGGTGAAGGATAGTGCGCCGCTTATTCTCTTAGTCTCACAATTAAGAATCAGTGTTTCTGCTGATAACGAGAGGCAGTGAGACGAGAGGCAGTGAGACGAGAGGCAGTGAGACGCGGGAGACGGGCCCCATGAGCAGATTATCATAGACCTTTGATACGACAGACGTATACAACGCAGACCTGCTGATGCACGTTAGACCCATTCACGAATCAGCTGTCACTCTATTGGTCTCTGTGAAAAGAGACTTCCCTCTGCAGTGTAGTTCATACACTTCACTGATAACCCACAGACCTGGAGAGCAACACCTCAACATTTTTGAGCGAGCCGTATTTGCCACATCCATTTTATAATCGAGAGTTAAAACCAAATAACACGTCCTGTTGTACAAATTGGCCACAATATCAGTTAACAGTCAGTAATAGCTCATGTAATCTATAGCTTTCTACACAACCCTGTCTAACACACAGTTAGAGATGGTGAACACAGCAGAACATTTAGCAGCTCAAAAGACAGATTTTCTAAAAGAAAGTTTGGACTTACCTTCATCAGGCGGACACGAACACATCTTGACAATAATCAAAGTGTTTCTGTGTCTGCTGGACGTCTAATGAAGCAACGGCATGCTAACAAATTCAATCATCAATTTAGAGGTGATATGTTAATGTTGTGTTTACAGCTCCATTCTGCTGCAAGAGTTTCCCCACAGTTGGGATCAAGTTGTGAGGTGCATGACGACACAACAGCTGGAGTACTTAACAAATCAGAAAACACAAAATAGGAGGCATAGCCACGCATCAAGAGATAGACTCCTCCCTAAAAGCAAGCCTCATCTAAACTGATTGGTTCAACACGTGTGGCCCTGCGTTCAGCTCTCAGTACTTTCATAGAGTTTAGTTTGGTGCTTTCAGATGCCAGCCTCACTGTTAGCTGGTCACCTTCTGATCATACCGGCTATGTTCATTCACTGCTTACGCAAACCCAACCATTCCTACTACTGCTGACTGTTTTATCCCCGTTATAGGATTTTTTTGGGGGAGGGGGGGGGGTCCAATGACAGAGGATGTCTAATGTCTCGTTTGTAAAGCCCCATAAGGCATATTTGTGAGAATAGGCTATACAAATACAATTGAAAATGTTCCTTGCTACTTGATAAACAGGGAAGAATGTTAGAAGAAGAAACATCCCCAGTGAGCTCTTCGAGCTGCAGTTTGTGCAGCCGCCACGCTGTGCTGTAGTCGGTTGATTGAGTGCAAGTGTCCCCACCTCGATGACAAAGTGTTCTCCTACCTTGGACCTGAGCGCCCAGTACTTCTCCGTGTCGTATTCCACATGTTTGAAAGCAGTCATATAGTCCAAACTGATGACCGCCGTCTGCAGACAACAGAGCAGTGACATGTAAAGAAGTGAGGAGTCAACAGGTACACTTCTATATCAAAATAAAGCTGAATTATTAATAAAGCTAAAAAAATCTATTTATTTTCCTCCTGTAAAACAAAACATGACCAACCGGTTTTTACCAATAACATCATGACATCCATCAATCAATCTGCAACTCTTAGAGACACGGTAGGTGTTTATCAACAGTCAGTCCTCTGTAGCTCCGTGTCACGCTACAAGCCCGCCCACTTTTTAACAGTCCAATGAAATAATAAAAGATTTGATCTAAATCTCTCGTAACTGTACAAATATTAACTTGAAAATATTGTTTCACTAAGGAAAACTTCTGTTTCACTGGGCTTTAACATAGTGCTCAGTTAGGCTTGTATGTATGGCTGACATGTAGATAGAATCGCCATTTATTGGTCCGAGTGTGCTAAACTAACTGTTAGTTACAAGATCTATTCTGGTGTGCAGTGACTCACGGTGGCTGCGGCTCGTCCAAAGCGGACGACACTCAGGTCATTGAGGTTCAGCTGTCTGTTGTAGAGGTAGAACCCGGAGGAGGCGAACACTGCTGTGGCCAGAGAGGAGACTTTGAGGAGGTGACCAGCCATCAGGGAGCAACTATGGGAGGAAGAATGAACATGGAGCTTTAACAAAAACACAGACAAATATAAACTGTGGATCTCACTTTGCTGTCTGCCGACCAGACTTGTAGGACTTGAGAATTTTGTGCAGGTGCTTCTCTCCCGAGACAGAGCTAAATGATGTCCAACATCTGCGTCTGCCTCGCTCTCGTGAGGTCATCGTTGACCACGGGTTCATGGCGTCAGAGCAAGTCGGGATCAAGTTGGACACAAATCTACCCAGCATGCATTGTGCGCCGATCGCCGGTGATCGGTTCTGATCAGGACCGGCTCACCTCGAACCACCCTAATGATTCACGTGTGCACACATTCACAGCCATTCATCTGCTGTTTAAAATCACAGCCTCTTGTCAAGCATCTTTGTGGAAATGTCTGTCTGTCACACCTGACAATGTTTTGAAAGACATGTGAAAAATAATATGACACATTTCTCATCCCCTGTAATTAAAGAGTAACTTCCACAAAGTTGGTCGACACTGAAGATACAAAATGGAAAAAAAGGAATGGTGAAAATCCGTGCAGCGGTGTCACATCTGTATCATCTGACTTTAAATCACTTGTTCCAAAAGCACTGATTCCTACACTTGAACATAACCTTCCTCTCTATCCTTCAAACTCCACACCTCCTGTTTGTAATGCGAGCTTGCTGTAATAAAGTTCTGGTCTTCAAACCCAAGCTGTGGGGGTCCCAATGACATCACAGAGAGCCGTTTTACTTGAGAAGCACGTAGCCGTAATGACGAGTACATTAAACTTATGTGCAAAGTGGTGGAACGCCCCTTTAAACCAGTTCGCCATATTGCATTCAGAAATGTGGCAATTAAAAGTGTTCTTGTTTGCGAAGACACACCTGTATGTTGTTACATTGTTCCGAATACATGTCAGACATCAGCAGAAGCCCCTCTTCAACTCGGCGTGCACATTAAACAGTAAATGAAAGCCGTTCCTGTGAAGTTAATCAGTCAAAGACAACTTGTATAACGTCACATGCACAGACCGGTACGTTTGGTAACACGCGTGGTGAAGTGGACGCAACTACTAGCACTCACAATGTCACATTATGCAACAGCTTCATGTGAAACAGCTCGTGGACGTTACCCTACCTGTGTGCTCATGGGGTTCGTTCAGAGAACCGCGCGCGCTGTCTTCAATTTACCTTCTGCTATGACCTCAAAGCTTTTTGACCTGAAAGCGAAGAATTCTGGTTAACGTAGTGTCGCGAGAGACGAAGGCTGCTGCATTCACAGTTAATACCGACACTCTCACGAGACTTTGACGTATAGAGAGGTTGCCTTTAAGTTGTCCGTCAATGCAGCCAGCGTGTATGCGCTGATATAGTGTCAATATCTACCTCTATTGTCGGTGTTTATGATAGATAGAAAACTACAGTTCGGTCAACCGCGGACCCCGATGAGGTATTTCACACGCGTCACACACCTTGGGCTCGTTCGAGATGCTTCTCGCCTGGAAAGTAGACCGTCTACTTTCAGGGACAGCCAATAGCTACTTTCCTTACCGAGGAGTTAGCAACACTGAGTGGACGAGAGCAGGCGGCAGCAGCAGCAGGGGGCGGTGACAAGAAACTCTGTACTTCTCAAAAGTCTCTCCAGCTGTTAAAGCCGGCTGACAGCTGATCCAGCTGTGATCAGCTGATCCGCCGTCATCAGAAACAGACGTCGCTTCACGTGACGATAAAAAAGGAAAGGATATCACTTTTCTCTAAAAACATATTTCCTTGTTTCCTCTCTCAATGCATCCCTGGTCTGGTGGGAGGGACTAAGGATACATCCCAAGTCTCTTATTTGTAATTTCCAAGAGACTTGGGATGAACCCACATGCTTCCTTTATTAGCTCCTTTAGCATAGGAAACACTGGACCTTCCCTTACGAAAGGAAAGTAGATAATTCCGCCCCACAATTCCATGCGGCGGCAGCATTTAAAGTGACGCCCCTTTCGGCCGTCCATGAAAACAAACGATATGCTTATGTTACACAGGTTTAACAATCATACTCATGCAGTCATAAAGTAATGGGATTCATGTTGATGAATATGAACAGACAGTGCCAATGGAGTCATGCTTTAGTTGCTCTTTTTGTAGTCCTTCGTTGTAGTTTCATTGACAGACCTTTTCCCAGCTCCTCATGAACTCTCCTTCACATCTTTCCTGGACCCCATGGCGTTTACAGCAGCACCAAGACATAAATCAATACATATAACTATGGCACGTAACATATATAAATATTAGATGCCACACAAGCTAAAATGATAATAGAATAAATATAGAAATCATACAAGAGCATTTTGGGACAAATGACACAGTAAAGTGAGGTGGTGTGATTGATAGCAGCAAATTCAACAGTGTAAACAGCGTACATCAGGTCATATATAATATGATTCAGCAATGGTACTCTGTGTTTGTCTGTATTCATATAGTCTCAATGTAACATTTTGACATAATATAGTACAATATGTTACATTATGATGTGGGATATGAGACATATATGGTGTAGTAGCGTAGTAACATATGCTGCAGGTGTGCCTGTGATGTGTGAATGTGAGATAGTCCTGATGGGCAGGTGGCACCTTGCATGGTAGTGTAATGGTAAAAATATGCATTTGAACTTTGTGTCCTCGATGTGAACTCGCAGTGAACTCGAAAACTTACGTGTCATCTATTAAGGAAAATGGCTACTGGAAAAGTAACAAAACTACTTGCAAAGTGGCAAGAACAACTTGTTCCTTACATGGAGTAAAGAAAGTGCAAACTAAGCAGTAATCAGAACTGGTGGTTGAAACACCTCATGTTACCTTGAATGTATTGAAGCTGTGAAGTCAGCTGGATACAGCAGACACGCCCTCGTGGGTGCTGCACTTTTGAGAAATAACTTGTTGCTGTACAAATAAAGGGGCTTGTGTGTTACATATTTTGAAGCATTCACAGTCTACTGAATACGTAGCTGTTGTGTTTTCTTCCCTCTTGCAAGAGAATAAACGGAAAAAGACAACTTTGAATCTTGTTAAGACTTTATTGATTTGTGAATCTTCTCCCGATTAACAAAGAAATCTTCCACAACAGTAGCTCCTGTCATCAGTGTATGAATGGGTGTGAATGGATGAATGACGACATGTAGTGTTAAAGCTTTGAGTTTACCAAGTATACAGTACATAATAAAAGTTATAACAGTTTAAGATTTAACTTAATATGTTGTGAAGTACGACAATATAAGATAAAATTGAATAGGATATCAAACATATGTTAACATGTTACAGTATAATATAAAACAAGAACATATCTAGAGTATGATGAGGTATTTTCATTAGAAGACAATGGAGATAAAGAAGTGAGATGTCCCCTTACATTGCTTTTGTAATCTTTCTCTAGACATCTATATACATACTTTCTATATCCTTGTGCTAAATTCCACAAAACGATATATTTTTTAAATCTTCCAGGGGGGGCATGGCCCAGGACCACCCTAGGAGGTTCACATCAGTGTCATCTTTTTTGCAACCCTGTTTATTAAAGTGGAATAAAACAGAATATGACCTCATTAATCCCCATGGGTGAATCCACTCAAACACCCCGTACACAACACGCTGCCAGAAACTGGGAAGGAATGAGGGCACAACAGCATGAGCCTGCATCTAATATTACTGTTATTTTACCAGATGTTTGTGATATCTGGCTAGGGATTCAAACCAGCAACCTTCAAGCTGCTAATCCACTCCTCCAACCTACCGCCCATGTTGGCCACCCACCATTTCTACTGTAGCAGGCTCAGACGGTCTCTGGTGAGGTAGAGGAGCTGGTGCGTCGTGGTGGTGACTCTGATCAAGGTGCTCGTGATCAGCTCGCCGTGCAGAGGGTGTTTGTGGTCCACGAAGCTCACCGAAGAATATATTACATATTAATTTTCTCATCAAAACCTTGACGTCAAACGTTAATTTTAAAAAAAGGTAATTGATTTTCTCTTGAAAAGCCAGACCAGTGGGCAACACCAGAGCACCGTGGGAGAAATGCTCGAATGTACACGTTTATATGCCCGTTTGGCAGTATATAATGTAACTAAGTACATTTACTCCAGTATAGTACTTGTATACTGTAGGGTTACTTCTACACAGTTCAGATATCCGTTGCCTACTTTTTACTGAACAAACAAAATATTTGCATAAAAATATATGAAGTGCAAATAAAACCTGCTTTGGTAAAAAGAACACTACCCGACAGATTCTGTTCATCAATAAGTCGATTGACAGAACATCTCGTCATCTTTTCATGATGACTTTCGACGTTTAGACTATTGTTTGGACAAAGCATTGTGAACGCATCACTTTGGCCTCTGGGTAATTTGTGACATCATTTCTCATGAATCAAGAACATAATCATCAGACTAATCCATAATCTAAATTATCAATAGGTGCTGTCCAATAGAAAACGTGTAAATTAGCTCCACCTCCACCGACTACACCGACGCTATTTACACATTACTGCATCCGTAATAATGACCTCATCATATTTATCTGTCATTGCACAACTACTTCTGCTTCTTCCTGATTAAACTTACTTATATGTTTTAAGTAGGATTTGGAATGCAGGACCTTTACTTTGGAGTGTAATGCAGTATTTCTACAGTGTGGTATTGGTACTTTCAATTAGGGATTAGAGTACTTCCCCCACCGCTGCAGGAGTTTACTGCCCCCTGGTGGCCAATCATTCAACCTGCTCCACCAGCTACTATCCATGGTTTGGTCGTGTCCAAAAGGCAGTAGTGAAGGAAGTACTCGAGTAAAACCACTAAATGAAATACTACGGTACAGGTTATCTCACGACAGAAGACACAGTAGATTCCAACACTGGAGATCAGTGAATGGTGTTTTATAAAGTTGGCATTAACCTGCTATTTACTGTGACAGGATGCTTACAGGAAGTACAACACTATCAACGACAATAAGGACTATTATTATTACTACTACTACTACTACTACTACTACTACTACACAGCGCATTCAAACAATGGCAATCATGGTCAGGCCCACAGTCACTGAAGGTGAAGGAGGAACACACTTGGGTCATTCTTCAGAATGGAGATCAAAACACCAACCCAGGTGTACTGGTCCAAATGCCCCACATATATCCAGCAGCTGAGGCAGCAGGAGCAAACACAGTCTTAGTGAGCTGGGGCCGGGCAACAGCAGCAGCAGCAGTGTGTCGGTCTCGTCACACAGCAGGATCACGGAGCTTCAGTCCTGTTCTCCGTCTCTGTTTGACCTCTGCCCTGCAAACGGACGTCTGTTCCTCTGAACCTGCAGCTGAAAACAAACAAACGGGGGAATCCAAAAGGACATGAGACATGGTGCGATAATGTGAAGAGTTTCAGGTTCTGCCTCATACTGGAACCATGTCATGTTTAGTATGGTGTCTAAGAACATACGTGCCAGCCTCACATGCTTCAATTTATTGAGATGCTGTTGCATTTTGACCATCATGTAGGTTTACCTTAGCTCCCTCCAGCACGTGCGGGTCTTTCTGCAATGCGTTGTTCAGCCCTTCCTCTGTAGAGAAGCCCACCCAGCAGAAGCCTCTGTGGAAGCCGGAGTCTTTATCCTGGAGCGACAAACAAACACAAAGCAACGAATGAGCAGGTTTGGCAGAAGAAGAAAATAAGAGTCCTTCAGTCATTCTAATGCTGTGACAACAACTTACAAATGGAAGCAGACACTTCTTCACGGGGCCGAACTGTGTAAAGTACTCCCTCATCTCCTCTGCGAAACAAACAGGAACACGTTATCTCCGTTCACGTCCCATGCAGAGGCTAACAGCTAGCTAAGGTGACAGTGGTAGCAAGGCAAGGCTGCATACAGAGGCCAACCCTTGTACAAATACAGATGTTGACACACCACGCTGCCACTACACATCAATGCGTATTTGAACCATTAAATAGACTTACTGCCGGCTATAGTCCATGGTACTTTAGACACGAAGACCTCGAACACTTTCTTGGACGGCGCCGCCATGTTTTGCCCTTGTCTTCTTCTTCTTCGATTTAATGGTGGTATACAAACCAGCGTTTAAGGTGCATGTCGCCACCTAGTGTACCGAAGTGTGTAACATCATGACTTTATGACAATTGTCATTTAAACACGATAATAATTGTATTATTTATAAATAAAAACCCTGTCTTCATATAGAAGTTATATTCTGGATATTAAACCCGTTTCATTCCAGTGTTTAAGTAAAGCCCTTTTAACCTGAACTTGTTCGTCCCCCGTCTCTAACAGTCCTTTGATGCTCCACTCTCCTCCCTCATCTACCACTCTGCCCTTCAGCCTTCCTCCTTCCACACTGAACCTCCTACACTCTATCAGCACATGTTCAACCGTTTCTTTACAGTTGTATATCTCACGTTCATCCCACACTGTCTTTTTTTAATGATGTCCTGACCTTATCCTAAACAAGGTAACATCTCCGTTTCTACATTACCTCCATCAATTCTGACTCTGACTCACGTCTCAGTTTTGTTATAATTTCTACCCTTACTGTCATTATTTCAGATTTCCTGCCAGGATGTCATTATTCCGTGCTGTACCTCGTTTCCCTCTGTTCCAACATGTGCCGGTACACAACCAAAATGTACATCTAATCCTAATGTTGTAACTTCAATAATGATATACATTTCAGTTTAAAAAATCCTCTTGAATTGTTTGACCTGATTGATCAGATATCGTATCGTGAAGTGCTTGCCAATACACAGCCCTATAGTAACCATCTTTTTTTAACATAAAGAAGGCTTATAATATGATGTGGAAGGAGGGATTATTAATAGAACGAGGGGTTAGAGGCCCGATGTACAAACGGATCAAGGATTTTTAACATGGAAGAGTCATTCAAGTCATTTTCTTTTGTCTAAAAATGGACCTCCTCAAGGTAGTATATGTGACTGACGGGGCAATTTGGAATAGTGGAAATAATTTTGAATTTACTGTGAAGAAAATACAAGAGGCTTTTGTTAAAGTAGAATAATGCATGGAAGCCCATTTCTGCCAGTGTGATGAAAATAATAAAGATCCTGGAAGTCATTATTATGAGAAACTTTCTCATAATAATGACTTAGTGTCTTCTCCTCCACACTGTGTGGGTTTGACTGAGGGCTGAGAGAAGGGCCCTGCTTTTAGTCTTAAAGAGGTGGAGGTGGGTGGCCATTCTTTTCTTTACTTCTTTATTATCATTAGAATGAGTGAAACACGCTGTACCAGCTGGTGGCGGTAATGCGCCATAGAGTTGTTGACTCACCAAAAAAGAAGAAGAAGACGATGACGTCATGGCCAAGATGGCGGCCTCCATGGTGGAGGGTGGTGAAGATGCATTTCGAAAAATATTCAAGTTTTACAAGAGAAGAAACCCTCCGCCAGATTTCAGCGATGTCATCGACTTCTCCAAAAGAGCACCGAGTGACCAGGTGAGGACACGTCCGAACAATGTTTAACCGGAAACCCGGAACTGTGAACGTTAGTTTAGTGCATTTTAACAACACGGTTATAAATAGAAGTGTAACAGAGAGGAATTAATCAGCATCCCTGACACAGACTCTGGAAGTTTTCACGTTTTTTTGGGAAATGAAGCATATTTGTGGCACCATGGTTGTAGTGGGTTACATTACATTTCACAGGGGTCTCTGTTTAAGCTGCCACTTCAGTGTGTACAGTGTCTGTGTGATTGACAGGTAGTCCCTGCTGCACTGGGCCCCGGTGGAGTGAGTGATGTGGAGGCTGCCAGGGTTGGATTACAGCCCGTCAGAGACTGGAGAGCTTTCGGCCTGCAGGGCTACCCAGGTACACGCAGGACAGGAGGAGAGACGGGCAGCTGTCCCACCACAGTGCTCCAGTGAGACAGCATGTATGATAATGAGTTTAGTCTTTGACCCAGTACTGCACTGCTGTGTGTTGTTCAGGGTTCATGTTCATCTCCAACCCGTTCCTGCCGGGCTCCCAACCCTCCTGGGTCAGACAGTGTCTGAAGATCTACCCTCGGAAGCCCAACGTCTGCAACCTGGACATGCACATGTCTCCCTCTGACACCCAGGACATCTGGGACAAGAGCGTTCATGGCCTCAGGTGAGATGTTCCTGACTGAATCTGTCTGACCTGACGCCTGGGCCACTTAGGCTCCATGTAGTCCGTCTCTGTAAGTGTGCCGTGTTTGATCCCCACAGCTGTCCTCCCTCTGGAAAGACTCAACCGAAGACTCTACTTGACAGGCTGCGCTGGGTCACTCTGGGATACCATTACAACTGGGATACCAAGGTAATCAACCCCACTGCTCTGTGAGAGGAGCAGAAATCAATACCAATATTCTGATCACAAACACAGTTTATCAGCATATTATTTACATTTGACCTTTTATCACAGAATTCTAATTCCTTTGTGAGGGTATGCACTGATTTGGCTTAGTGGTTAAGCTGGTGACCATGACCCATGACTTCTGTTGCATCTCTCTCTCTCATTATCTCATCTGTCTGTAATACTGGCCTTCAAAATAAAAGCACAGAATAGTCTGAAATATAAAGAAATACAGACTTTTAAAGTCAGCTCTATCCTGTACAGTTTAATTCTTAACAAACCAATTATGTTTAAGCACTGTCATTGTCAAAAGCCATGAAGGTTCATGTGATGAAGGCCACCAGGAGTAAATAGACACATAAACTCTGGCAAATTTAAGGATGTTTTTGTCCCTTACACTGTTTGAGATGATGCTTTTATTTCTTTTTTTACATTTGGCCAAAAGTCTTGTAGTTGTTGCAAAGAGGGAAACATTCGTAAAAGATAATAGACCCCGTGTGTTCCAACATATCTCGTCCTGCTGCTTTTTGACTGTTTCCTTTTGTTGTTCCATTCACAGACTTACTCCGCCAACCACCACACTCCTTTCCCAGCCGACCTCCACTCGCTGTCCTCTCAGATAGCGTCGGCCTGTGGGTTCCCGGGCTTCAACGCAGAGGCGGGAATCCTCAACTACTACCGATCCGACTCGTCTCTGGGAATCCACGTGGACGAATCGGAGCTAGATCACAGCCGACCGCTGCTGTCCTTCAGGTAAGAGGGGAGAACAAACACTGCGGAGAGGATTTTTAGAATGCCAAGCACTTTTGTGTTGTTATGTGTTTTATTGGACGTTGCCATATGAGACAGAAAAGGACTTCATTGCCAGGTTAACTACAGGAAATACTCCCAACACCCTCACCGGGCATCTTGTCTTTTCTGATAGTTTCGGGACGTCGGCTATCTTCCTTTTGGGAGGCACCCGCAGACAGGACCCCCCCACCGCTATGTACATGCACAGCGGGGACGTGATGGTGATGTCGGGACAGAGCCGCCTCCTCTACCACGCTGTCCCACGCATCGTAGCGGCACCCCAAGGCGGTCCGGTGTCGGCGTCGGAGACGGACGGCTGCGGCCCGCTCTCACAGGAGGACGGCTCTGTGGTGGAGCCGCTGTCGGAGCAGGACCGGGCCGCGTGCTCCAGGTACACCCACAGCTCCAGGGTGAACGTGACCGTCAGACAGGTGCTGGGGCCCGGACAGAGCTTCCCAGAAACACCCTCTTCTCACCAAAGGACCGACGCAGAGCAGACAGAGGGGCGCCACGGCCGACCGGCAGACGGAGAGAGAGGGAAGAGGAGGAGGAGGAGCAGTAGCTGTGACTCTGTTGATACTGCAGAGACATGACACAGACCACCTGCTGAGGACCAGACTAAAGAAATGAAGACGGCTGCGTTCCAGCCCCGTCAGTCAGAGCACCACATGCATGGATCGACACGCTGTTGGGACTGTTTGATGGTCTGAATCCAGAGTTCTGTGAAATGTACAAACAATTCACAAGTGAAACAGAAAAGCATTGCTTTCTGTAGCGGAATGTCTAAAGTCATGCATTATCAGTTTGATATATTTCGGGCTGCTGAAATAAGTTAAAGATATATAAAGATGGGAGGAAGTAAAACTTTATTTATATCGCTCTTTTTACAGCACACAGTTACCAGGTGCTACACACACACACACACACACACACACACACACACACACACAGAAAATATAAATGAATGAAGTAAAAATAGATTACAATATAAAACAAAGGACATTAAGAGCGGCTGATTATGCGGTTCCAATTAATAAAACTGGCAGCTGCATCTTGAACCAGCTGATTCAGAGCAGCTTGACTAAGGCCCGTTTACACCTGTTATCAATCTATAGGTATCATACCCAGATAGCAATCTTTATCTTTGATGTTCCCTGAATCAATAAGCAAAGTATGATACCATATTTGGAGTTTTTTTGTGAATGCAATCCATACAGCGTGAGCACATTCTTCTAAAGACTCCAGCCAGTTGAAAGGTACCTAACCGCCTCTTCCTGCTAACTCGAGCAAGTCTGACAGAACAAACCAATGGACAGCGTTACATCCCAAATACACATTTAGGTGTTTATACTTTGTCCATTGGTGTCTGTGTGATTTCTACAGAATGAAGTTGACCTCATTTGCATATTTAAACAAAACACATTGAACTTGTTTCATGATATGCATGATAAGACATATCCTAAACCTTTGACTTTAATGTATCAACAAGATGAGACGAGGATTTTGAACCTGGCTTCATCCAATGTTCTGACTTCTGTTCTGGAAATGTATGCAAATTCATGAAATGATGAATTAATTAAATGAATCACTATCCAGTGTCAGCATTGAATCCAAGTAGCTCTCCCTTCAGTAAAGCCCTGTGTATTGTAGAACAGTGTGCAGCCTGCTCTGTTGGCTCTCTGTGTCGGAGGGGGCGGACCGGTTCAAAGGTGAGCTTCATGTTAAGTTATATTATTATGAATTGAATATGAATATCCCTGGGATTTTTGACTCTTTGTGGTTTGATTGACATTGTTTTCATGCAAAAAAATAGGCAGCCTAACAAAAAGGCATTATTATTATACAAAACTATAAAATAAAACAGTGGTTTCCATTGTGAGTATCTGGACTTGGCAAAGCGTTCACATTTAGCTTTCATTACATGCTTTCCATGAAAAGAAAAGTCACAAAGACTTATAATTTTGGGAGATAAAACTTACAGAAAATGCCGGTCCCCTCCGAGTTCAGTCCCATCGGCATTCTGTGCATGACGTGGTCTATAAGCAGCACCAATACATAGTGGTGCAGAGATGTGGGTGTCGCTAGCGCAAAGAACACTGAACAGCCTGTAAAGAGCACAGATTCCATCTCTATCATTAGAAGCACACATGCCACACTCAAGCCTGTGGAGGGAAATCAAGTTGGCCACACGTGTGTATTACACCATGTAATCATCAGATTGTGATGTTTGCATTTGCAAAACTGTTACGTGTTTATTGCTTGGTATTTGTGTGTAGATTAGCAGTTATGAGTATCAAAAAGTATGCATTATTCATTGTACGCATTTGTAAATCGTATTTTTATTTGAGACAAAAGTCACTCCATACACGTGTGTCACGTTTTACACCGTAATGAAGCTCTGTGGTCAACAAGCATGTTTTAAATTATTTATCATTGAAGATATTTTGTAAATCTTAAGTTAAATATTCAACATATACTGACAGCATTGTAAGTTTGTATATCTTTTGTATGAGTTGACACTTGCTTTAGTAACTTAATGTGTCATTTGAAGTTAATCTTGAAACAAAAGTTCTATTTAAAAATCCGGTTAACCTGACCACCAGATGGTTTGTTCCAATGGACCACCAGATGGTTTGTTCCACTGGACCACCAGATGGCTTGTTCCAGCAGACCACCAGATGGTTTGTTCCAGCAGACCACCAGATGGTTTGTTCCACTGGACCACCAACTGGTTTGTTCCACTGGACCACCAGATGGTTTGTTCCAGCGGACCATCAGATGGTTTGTTCCACTGGACCACCAAATGGTTTGTTCCACTGGACCACCAAATGGTTTGTTCCAGTGTACTAGTACTTAGCAGGTGATTGACACACAAAAACATACACACAATATCTCACATCTCTTGTAATAGCCAACAATTCATGATTCAAAACTATATAAACTCTTCTAAAGTAGTATTTTTTGCATCACAACTTTACACACAAACACCAAATAAATAGTTATTTTCACTTGCCAACTGCACACTGATGTGATAAACACTATCGAGAGTCTTTGGCAGTTTCATTAGTGGCACGCTGTAAATATAATATCTAGTTTATTCTTAATGCACCGATACCAATGTCAGGCCGATACCATGTTTCAGTGACAGCAGGGGGATGATCTATTCAATTCAATTCTATGTTTATAAACTACATTACATACCGGAATTTGAATTTTCCAGTATGGAACAGTTTTGATCGAAAATACTAAAAAGAATTGTGTAATAAATGTATGTTGGTGTAAAGAGCCGCAGCATTACACTGTCTGATTTTGATATGTCGTTATCGGTCCCAGAGTGTCAAATACTGATGCACAAGGCCCCCTTCAGTATCTGTATGAGACAAACACAGGACTATCACCCAGGAGTCCGCTGTTCAAGTCCCAAAGCGTTCAGATTTATGTCGAAGTTCCATTAGTAATGTTTGTGACAGGCTTTCTGTACTTACGTTGCATTCCTACTTTGTTTTTCTAGTTATTTTAAGCCCGACCATGATGTATGTCCTAAATTTAACTTTGTGGTTTTGCCGTCTAAAACTCAGCAAGTGATTTAGTTTGAATTCACAGCGTGTTTACTGTGGAGCTACCCAGTGTGTTAGACAGTGGCCCGAGGGTCCTGACCAAGCACCCGTATGTGACCAGTTGGACTGGGAGCGTGTTGCAGTGGCACATACTCCAGATGCTCATCCAACAAAGTACCAGGACCAGTGAGGTCATGTTAGAGATGCACATTACACAGCCTCTATAGCAGAGCTCAATACTTGTATGGTAACCACTTGTGAGTGGACACGTTACAGCTGAGTCATGACTTGCTTCAGGTCTTTCAATGGACCATTGCATTTTGAGAGTACATCATCAAAGTTACAGCATTCGTCCACTGTAACAAGTTTGGAATGAAATCAGTTAGAAATGGATTTAAATGAATAATTGGAGTCTTGGCCTCACCGCTCTGGTTATCATCACTGTACGATACGACATGGACTTAGATGTGAACACTTCGAGGTGTGCTCGGAACCCTTTGTGGCTAAATGTCTCATCACATTACAGTCTGATGGTGTTTCACAGCACAGTAGCACTGACACAAGTAAACCAACGAACAGTAGATAAGATGAATATGAACCACCGTACGCCATTAAATCAACGACACATTCATATTTGACACATCTTCAGCACTGAGCCTGTATTCTCAGTTCAACTCCATGACGTGTGCCGATCCGAACGCTCCTGGTCTGGATGCAAGAGGGGGGGGGGGGGGGGTCGGCAGAGTCCACGTCAGACAGGCAGAGAGAAAGACAACGATGAGCTCATGTCCTCAAATCTCCACTGATCCAGTCAAACACCATCCTGCCAACTGGTTCTCCTGCATCCAGGACGAAGGCGTGGCGGAACCCGCTCTCACACAGTCGGAAATGTCCACATGGGAAGTCCTGCTTGATGTCATGGTAATACTGAACAGGGCACCAGTGGTCCAACGCTCCATAATAGAATATAAGCTGGAAATGGGAACACACAGACGGTTTACTGCTGAGGTTGACTTCTAGATTTAACACACGATAACAGCATTGGAACAATGTGTCGAGGCCCCTTTCCTACCTTTGCCAGGTTCTTCTTGATGGTGATGTTGTCCCTCTCCAGAACCGTCGTCATTTCCTGACCCCCCATGTACATGGCGTTAACTACAGAGAGGAACAAATCACACTGCTTTCATCATTCCTTTACATCACAAGTATGACATGAGACACAGGTGTGCACTTTCAAACCTCCGTAGAATACGATTCAGAGTCGATATGAAGCAGATTCCTATTTGTGACAAAAATGTGTGTTGTGTGTAAAACTGAAAAAGGTGAACAAATACAACAGCCCACCTGCACAGTCTCCACTGAGCAGACCTAAAGTGGGTTGGACTACGGTGTGGTCCAGGGACCGGATGCCGCCGAACACCAGTTTGATGAGGCTGGCTTTGAGTGCCTCGGGCAGCAGAGAGAGCAGGAAGAGAGGCAGGTAGGCCACGTAGCGCATGTGACACAGCACAGGGGTCATGACCCTCCCTTGAGGAGTCTCCGCCATGCGCTCAATGGTGGGAAACAGCATGACGGCTTTTAGAATCTGCATGGAGAAACAACACAGAATCTGACTCAGTGCTCTGTTTAAGACCTTGACACTGTCTCTTTAATGAGCCACCCTGGCTTATTGCAACCAACCTTGAGGTCAGGATTTCTCTTCATAATGTCCAGGATGATGAAGCAGCCGATGGAGTGTCCCACCAGCACCACGCTGGTCTCTTTCGGAACATGTCTCCGGAGGAAGGCCAGCTTGTGTTCGATCTGCCCGCTCAGACCAAACACGTCCCGCTCCGCTGCCGAGGAGACATCTGTATGAAAGAAGTAAAATATTCAGAATCCATCAAATGTCTCTATGCTTACTTTGCTGTCCATGTTCAACTCACCTGAATGACTCATTAAAACCACTTCCATGTTTCAAAATATGTGAGGAACGTTCCTATTTCAAGTAGCATCATTATTCACGCTCTCTTCTCTTCCAGTGTACTGAGATTAGCGTGCGGAAATTAATATTCCGTACCTTCAACCATGTCCATGGAGTCCGGTAGCACACAGTGGCCAGCATGGCTCACGGCCCACACTGGGTGGTGGTAGCCAAACATACGGTGGAGAGTTTGCATGAAGGTCCTGTAGAAGCCCACTACGCCTGGGTTACCTGCATGGAAGACAGCAGAAGATCAGCACATGATGACATCATGTCAAGGTCATATTAGAGAGTAAAATGTTTAAAAACTGTTGAAATTCAACATTAAGTGCAGCTGAATGGAGACAATCACATCAATGGCACTATACATTTGTACTACTTAGTCCCAATGTTTCTGCACATTAGTTAGTTTGTGGTCAGTATGAACCGTGCAAGCACAGCATTGTCAACATTGTACTTCCGGAATACGCTCACCTGGAATGATGAGAAACAGCACCTTGTGTCCCGAGTGTAACCGACAGGAGCCAAACTTCAGAACCTCAGTGATGGCTCCACAACAGTAGCTGAAGTCCGTCTGCGGTTCGTCCCTCCCGTCTGTCACCGTGTCGTCCATCGCACTAGCTGTGAGGAGAGACGTGGGGAGAAGAACAGGAACACCGAGTTCAAGCTCCTGGTTCACACGCACACAGAATAACGTGAGCTGATATACCGTTAGTTTATCAGCAGGGTCCAAAGGTGACGCGTTCCTTCCACGTAAAAGGTTAAAAAGCGAGTCGTGCATGTGATGCGTTTGAGTTGTCAGATACAATCGGTATTTACAGTACAAGATATGCAACTCGCTCTAACAATATGAAGTATTAAAGTGACATGATTTAGCCAGTGGGTTGGTGCGACAGTGACAGTAGCTGAAATGAGTTCATATCAATGCTACATGCTAACGCTACTGACTGACGTTCACTTAAGCTAGCATCCTAGGGAACTGGTTTTCCGACGCTAGCAGACAAGTGTAATGTTTACCTAATAAGAATAAGATGACGTCCTCCCATTCATCTGCGTCTCTCTCTGTTTTTGCTCAATGTGAGGACTTCCTGCTGGATGCTGATTGGTCAGGCGGACCTTCTTCTCTTTATTAAAGCGTGCTTATTATCTAACTCACAGCCACGCTACTGCCCCCTGTACTGCCGGAGGGTAGATAGACAGAAGGTGCACGAAGGAAAGGTCATGTAAGAATGATGTGGTGTTTGTTATTATTGTACCAGAGAAAATACGTTTAAAAAACCACAATGGTCACCAAGGAAAAGATGTTTAAAAACCCACAATGGTCACCAAGGAAAATATGTTTAAAAAAACACAATGGTCACCAAGGAAAATATGTTTAAAAAAACACAATGGTCACCAAGGAAAAGATGTTTAAAAAAACACAATGGTCACCACCGAAAAGATGTTTAAAAACCACTATGGTCACCAGTGAAAAGATGTTCACAATTGGTTAAAAAGCAGTGGTGGGCTGTCAGGGCGTGCAAGGCCTTCTCTGCTGGCCTAAACAGAATCACAAAGTTATAGCTATTTTATAATTATAAAAGTTATTTGAAGACGTTGATTCACATGTAGACGTTCACATGTAGACCAGAAACAATAGTCTATTTGAGGATTTTCAGTCAGCATTTAGAAAGCATCATAGCACAGAGACAGCTCTGGTGAAAATTACGAATTACCTTCTATATGTGCATCAGACAAAGGACTTGTCTCTGTTCTTGTCTTGTTAGACGTTAGTGCTGCGTTTGACACCATTGACCATTACATCCTGTTACAGAGACTAGAACATTATATTGGCATTAAAGGAACCGCACTAAGCTGGTTTAAGTCCTATTCATCAGATCGATCTCAGTTTGTATATGTTAACGATGAAACCTCAGTGAATACCAACGTTAGTCATGGAGTTCCACAAGGTTCTGTCCTTGGACCAATTCTGCTTACGTTATATATGCTTCCTCTAGGCAATATTATCAGAAAACACTCCATAAGCACTTCACTAAATTTCAAGCAGCCTTAAGGACATAAAAACCTGGATGACCTGCAACTTCCTGATGTTAAACTCAGACTAAACTAAAGTTCTTCTACATGGCCCAGAACACCTCCAAAATCAATTATCTAAGGATTTAGTTTCTCTAGATGGCATTGCCCTGGCATCCAGCATCACCGTAAATAGTTACCTTTGATCAGGATATGTCCTTTCACTCCCACATATAACTAATTTCAAGGACTACCTTTTTTCACCTACGTAACATTTAAAAAATCAGGCACATCCTGTCTCAAAGCGAAGCAGAACAATTAGTTCATGCATCCGTTACCTCTAGACTAGATTACTGCAATTCCTTATTATCAGGCTGCTCTAATACGTCTCTTAAAGCTCTCCAGCTGATTCAGAATGCTGCAGCTCGTGTACTAACAAAAACTAAGAAAAGAGCCAGAGCCTTCAGTTATCAAGCTCCTCTTCTGTGGAACCAGCTTCCAGTTTCAGTCCGGGGGACAGACATGCTCACCACATTTAAGAGTAGGCTTAAGACTTTTCTCTTTGTTAATGCTTATAATTAAGGCTGGCTCAGGTTTATAGGTAGGGCTGGCTCAGGTTTGCCTTGGACCAGCCCCATGATATGCTGCTATAGGCATAGACTGCTGGAGGACTTCCTAGGATACACTGAGTTCCTCTCTCCTCTTCTCTCTCTCCTTCTATATGAATTCATGACTCATTGATGCTCATTACTAACTTTGCTTCTTCCCCAGAGTCTTTGTGCTTTCTTGCCTCATATGTTTCCATGGCCCTGCTGACACCCACTATCATTATTATTAGTCACATTACTATTGCTATTATCAAAACCATTATGGCTTTTATTAATATTCTACTCTATCCACTCCTGCTGTTATTATTAGTAGTCATAACGTTTATATCATTATTATGCTCACTACTCTCATTATATGAATCATTTCTGTCATATGCATTGAATGTGTTGTAACTCTGTTGTTGTTCATTCTGTACTCATGACATCTATCACACTTCTTTCCATCCTGAGATAGAGGGATCCCTCCTCTGTTGCTCTCCATAAGGTTTCTTTCTTTTATTCTTCTTTTCCCCTGTTCAAGGTTTTTTGGGGGGAGTTTTTCCTGAACCAATACCAATGTGAGGGTCCTGGGACAGAGGACGGTGTATGCTGTACGGATTGTAAAGCCCTCTGAGGCAAATTTGGGATTTTGGGCTACACTAAATATATTGAAATTGAAATGTCAGTGGTCAAGTGATAAAGCATATAACATAATGAATATAATGAATTAGTCTTTGTGGAGAAAAGGACAGAGCAGCAGTTGAATGGTTAATGGAAGAGGGAAAAAACACTATAATAACATACAGACAGTTTTCTTTTGTTGTTGTTTGGTGAGTTCTTTTGGCCTTATTTAAATGAAACCATATAAAAGTTTAGAGGGGAAAAGTCCCTTCTGGTTGCACAGATACCAAGCATTAATAACTATATAGAAATAGACAATCATCTCATTTACATATGTAGGTCATATAGAGGCATTCAAATTTATTTGAGTTCCTTACAGTAACTTGAAGCAAAATCTCCCTCTGCTGCAAATAATTGGGATGTCATAGACGTCCAAAAATTCCTACTCTGTTGATTTAATAAGAACATGTAGGGACAGTATGACAAACACCAACATCTGTATTCAAAATTGTTTAATTAAATCCTCAAATTTAGAAAAAGAAGAACTTGTATATTTTTCATGTCAGTTAAAACACCGTAAAACACATTTTATTGGCATCAAACAATGTCCATTTTTCACAAATACATAAATTCAGTCAATCATAATGACATCACTATCAAGAGAGCCATGACTCACTGACTGGATTGCGTAGGCCATTCGCTGAAAGACTTCCAAAGAAAGGGTAAAGGAATGTCCATCTCTCTAATGTATGGTGCTGTGCTTCTAATTAGATCTATGCTTTTAGTAGGTCCTCCAAAGAAATGTGACTGCAAAATACTGATAAACTCCTTGGTATCGTTATTTACCCGCTCCATACTTAGACCATTATAAGCCTCTTGAATAATCCGTTTGGCATGGTCTTTATACTCAGCCATATATCTCTTTGCCCCCTCAGTATGTTGGTTTGAAGACTGCAGAACTTCTGCATAGATGGCATCAACTTGAGAAGCAATTTCCATGTTTTCATCTTGTAAGTAGATGATCAAACTGTCTATTTTTTTAGCAATCATGTTGAGGAGGTCATTAACTGTGTTCTCAAGCAAATTGAACCCCCTGAGCACAGAATGTCTTAGCTGATCATATACAGATCCCGCAGAAGTCACCATTTTATTCACGATTTTACTTCCTTTTCCAACAGTATCAGTTCCAGGTATGGTGAACCTTATTTCACTGATGTATCTATAAATATTCACAATGATGCTGGAAAACCATTGGATTGCCCTGTCGGTGGCTCTTGATACAGACCGACGAGCTCGCTGGAACACCTCCAGGCTCGAGAGCTTCTCTTCAGATCCAGGCAATGTCAACTCTGTGTCACTCAAGAACTGTGTGACTGCATCTAGCAAGTCATCAATCTTGTCTTCACTGCGTTTCAAGACTTGTCTAATCTCTTTAGCCAACCTGTCTACAATATCCTGCAAACGCATGGACATCAAGCCGTCAGAAGCCTTCCTGTACATGTCTTTTCCTTGATCACTGAGGTGTTTGATTGAATTCTGCAGTGTGTTAAAAGACATAAGTACCTCATGATAGGCTCTCTCTATGACATTAGAAACTGTGTTTTTTAGCTTCATGCCACCACGGTTGAGATCAAAGCCAAAGTGAGCGGTGTGGTACTTGTTAATGAACTTGAGCACAGCATCGGTCATAAAAGGAATCTTGTCCTTGGTACCCTCCATCACATCATAGAGGAAATCCAAATTCCATGACGTGTGTAAATTCAACTTCTGGGAGTTTCTCAGCATGGCTACGGCAGTGATAATATCAGTATCCTTTTCAAGATTAGACTGAAGTTGAGGGAAGAAATTGAGAATAGTAATTGTTAAAACAGTGTCAATTGCCCTCCATATAACATTAATCCATATATAGATCTTACCAGGTAGCGACTAAACAGTTTCCCATACAACTGTGATGGAGACTTCCGCTGAAACTGCAATCCAAGGAAACCAGCTGATGGAGAAGACATAGATGCAGTGATGCCATCTTTACGGGAAGCAAAGCGGAAGTTTGCATCCGCAAATGTTCGGCTACTGATGTCAACATTGACAGTATTACGAGACACCCTTTAATACAGAGAAACAGTTGTTAGGTATTTTCTAGTGCATCTTTGGTCAACCCGTGAAAGAGCCATCCAAAAATCATCTCGAAAAAACACCAATTAGACCTCCTACCCAAGATAAGGATTCTTGATGTCTTCGTCAGAGTAGCTCTGACAGCTCTCCTAACCATGGCTAATCATTTCAAACCTAAGATAAAATGTCTCTGCGGCCTCATTTTTTATTTCAATTGTCTAATTTCCGGACTAAATGCAGATGCAGCTGAACATTGTGACCACATTGAACACTGTAAATTAACTTATATTTTCAATCCACATGCAACATCTACTTGGACGATATTGATGCCTTGGTTGGCCCACAACGTTTGGGTATGCTTACTAGAAAATATGACGAAGCAGCGCTCAGAGTAAGTATCAAATTTTCAACTGTTCTTTTTTTTCTGGGCTTCCATTGAGATTAAATTAAGCAAATAAATATAGATTTCTAATCAAATTAGAAATTGAGGAATCAAAAAGTATATTCCATACACTTACCTTGGGTTTTGTGCCAAAATGCCATGTTGCCAGTCCACATTTACATCACTGTGAATCAAGCTGCCCTGCCCATTTAGATTGATTGCTCCCTTATCAAATGTAAGGGTTGCACTTTCTGAAGGGACATAAGTATATATATATATATATTACAATGTCATA